GCTAGTGAACTAGACCAAGTGAGTATGCCCATGGACATCAAATGTGGAATCACATTGTTTGACTCGTCCGAAGCCGAAGCGGCCCCACTGGTACTAGCACTAGAGGTGCCATCGTTCCCATTTGATGATGAAACCAAACCATCACTCGTTGTACTTTGGGAAGCGACACCCATGGGACCGGGATTGTCGCCATTGTCACGGTCACCATCAGTATTATCACCCGCGGAATCAGGTGTCTCCGAAGACGATGTATCCGAAGCTACTGACTCAAACTCGATCTCCGGATTGTCAAGGCCACCATTCTCATCATTCTGATCATTGGAATCATCGAGCCTTTGTCTCTTTTGTTCACGATCAAGAGCTGATTCTGATGAAGCAGTGGAGGCAAGGCCCGCGCTGGAACACGATGTTCGCTTTGACATATCGAGTCTTGACAAAAATGTACAAAAGTCAGAAGTAGACTCGAACCAAAAACGCTTGCTTGCAAAAAAAACCTAATGCAAAACATCTGACAGACAGACTGAAAGATAGATAGCAAACAAAGGAAAGGCTTTGGAAAACTGTCTTGCGCATGTGTTCTTTTGGTTTGGTAAGCAAATGTGTTCAAATTCCTTGTGTACTGCCCTGTGACTATCTATATGATCATATGATCCACAAACTACAAATGCTTTCCGATGGATTCTACTGACTTTACATGATCCGTGTTCGACCAAGTTCAGCTCTCAGTCATCGTTTGCATCAGGGCCCTGGCTTGATGTTGCTGCTTCCGCCAATGAGGCTACATGTGACCATGGCCTGACAATTTGCATCGTGTCCACCATGTCTTAACTGTAAGTCTAGTGTGACATGAAACAAACCGTTCAGCACAGCAAAATATATTGCAGACCTGTTTTACTTTGAGAAAGGAAACATATGAGAAGTGTTTCTAGAGTTCATTCAAATTGAAACTTGGATGGCCTTGAGTACGGCGTACAGTTTGCAGTATACACATATGTAACAGGTAACATATGTATGCATTGTATGCACTGCACATGTTGCCAGCGCTTTCATACGTACAAGGTTGAGTGAAGCTTCAGCTCCCTGTCACAAGGCGCAAGGCAGCCTGCACTGTAGCCTTTGCACCACGAGAAGGTTCGCCGCCGCTGTCACGACGGTCACAAACCTGTGTTTTAGCAAACCAATATATGAAGAGTGTGATGAGTGATGAGGTTGGGGGTTGAAAGTTAATGTTGAGCAATCAGATTAAACTAGCACCACCGCCTAGGTCCAGGTTTACAGTACTCATCATCATATCTGAATGCATCAAAAATGTAAACTTGCCGAAGCAACAAAAGGACACTGAGGACATTTTGGTGGTTGTTGGTGCATGTCATGTCTGTAGTCAGTAGTATATAGTTTGTTCATAATATATATATATATATGTATTGTTTATCATCATCCATCCAAATGTTCTGAAAGGTGTTCTGAAACAATCTCGCAGAGAGACCAAGCGTTTGAGTCTAAGCTTGAACAATAACAAAGAGTCTGTCTGATTTAGTCTTTAACCTAGAACATAACTAAAACATGAACACAGAACACAATGAACACAGCTAGTTGAAATACAGCTAGTTGAGTCGAGCGCACCAGCCTTGGCTTAGATGTTGGGAACACACGTGGCAAACGACATCCAGTGGTCCACGTAGTCGCATCACAATTTCCTGCCTGCAGGCTGCAGGAAGCCACAAGCCAAGTTCTTGAAGTGGTTGAACAAACATCAACATTAATCCGTTAACCCTTGTTTTTTAAGTTGACAGTTACAATTTTTAATAATCTATTCATATCGTCAAACTCAAACTCTTCAAAACTTTATTGCGATATATCAACAGCTATCGGCATCGCAATGCAACACATAAATACTTAGTAGTAGTAGTAGTAGTAGTAGTAGCAGTAGCAGTACCATAGGTCACTCAACACATAATCAAAAACTTTGTTAAGTTACCTTTTCAGCCTATCAAATCAAACACAACATAAAGCCCTGGCTGGCTGGCCCATCATAATGTCATAATGCCGTGTTGCTGTGTGAACACATCAGAAGCCAATGCGCGCCGGATATGCTTGTAGGCGGCATCATCTTGCGCAGGAAACATATTTTGGAACGTGGCCGCCTGATCATCCGGTGTTCGCCTAAGATCAAAAACATTGCGAGTCATGAACTTCATGGACCATCAACTTTCATTGACCCATCGATCAACTGGTATGCCAACTGAGCCTGAATGAACAACAATGCGCAGAACTCTTGCGCATGCGGCACGCGTGTGTTTTGTGTTCAAGACAACTGCGACACTACAGTGCATGAGTTGATGATGGCTCGCAAACAAATAAGGCAGCGACAGCAAAAAGAAAGGCAAATCACATGGTTCCAGACTATGTTGATCCAAAGTAGGAACCTTGTGCAACTGAGCAAAGTTGGCCAGCCGAAGTGCAGCTTGTTTGGAGCAGTTGCTGTGCCAAAGCTTCAAGCACACAGAACACCTCTGTGGTGGCAGATCAGAAGGCGAAGATGAGGACTGATGGCATGCAATGCAGTTTCTTCCAGCTCCATCATCATCAAAGATGAAAAAGTCTGCATCGTCCACTACCACTTGGAAAGCTGCTAAACAGCTTTGACGAAGGCGTTGAAAATCATGTGGCATGATTTGTCGATCTTTCTTCTTCACACGAACTCCACAAGAAGGTGCCACAATGACAGACCCACTGAAGTTCTGCTTTGGTCTGAAATGAGATGGGTAGATGCCGCCGCCATCATCATCCAATTGAACACTTCGGCCGGTAAGGTTTTTGTATGGCTGCAACCATGACACGTAGACTGCATCATTCTCTGTGATGACCAAGCTCAGGTCGTGACCTAAACAAGAGTCAACAGCGCTGACATCGAAAGCTTTCAACTGGTTGGCGATAGGCTCCATTGAACTCAGAAAATGTTCCATTGATGAACTCCAAGCAATCAAGGAGTCATTGATCGAAGAAGCATCCAAAGCTGTAGTGGCTGTAGCGTGTTCTTTCTTAGCAGCACAACTCTGTTGCTCATTTGGCGATTGGGACAAGTAGTGTTCCAACAGCACATCACCAATGTCTTTCTCCAGGTTCCCGTCATTGCTTTCAATGTCACCTGCACAGAACGCATCTTTGTGCTGCTTTTCTGAAGCAACTTCCACAAACACTCGATGCAAGCGGTCCATGTCAGCTAAATCATCTTGTTCCTCCATGGTTGATTGTAGTTCCTGTTCCAACATTGCAATGTCAACTTCTGCAAAGTCTCCACATAGTTCCCGCTCAATTTGTTCTAACTCCAGTGCATCTTCATCTTCTTCATCAGCATCATCCACTGGATCGGCAATGTTGCTGGGACCATCGCCATCATCACCAGGACCATCACCATCACCTGAGACTTGTCCAACATTCCGGCTACATGATAGTTCATCGGCCATGAACCATGGGACATGGGAGTACATGTGACTAGCTTTCAAAAATAGTTGAAGCATATATTGAAACAAACAAACAAACAAACAAACAAACGATTACAAGTCAAAGGAAACATACACATTGAACAAAGACACAAATGAAATAAACCACCGCCCCCCGGCATTGCATTGAAACAAAACCTTTCTAATGTGTGCTTCCATAGTCACCGTCTTCGAGCTGGCCCTGGCTAACGTCTGGTTTGGGAGCACGTTTCTGGTATTCCTTGCGCATGCGTAGTTGGACAACGAATATCTCAGTGCCCTTTGTGTAATGCAGTCGTGGTGACATTGTGTGCCTACGAACGTGCAGAGGTACAATGAAGAGATCAACTGTATGCAACTTGCCCAGCACATGTTCGTGCGCACCCGCAATGACACATAAAGACGGCTCAAAGTTCAAAGTGTCTGCAACTTCCCATGCAAGGTTTGAAGTTGCTTCCCGACCGGCGCTGACAACATTCACAGCCTGTAGCTGTATGGTCTGACATGTGTGCCCCGTCAACTCTGCTACCAAATACAGCGACTCATGTGACTGAAAACGAAGAAACATGCCAAACACCACAACCTCTCCATTCTTCTTGCGGCGATGATGTGATGCCTTCATAAACATTCTGTTGTACTTTACTGCCCACTTGTGCGACGTAGTGAGACCCAAACTAGGGTCAAAAGCAGCTGGCTTCAGCGATGCAAAATCCACAGGCGCAGCAGGGCCCCATCTGTTTACATCATCAAGGGTGTCTTGTTCAAAACCTTGGTACAATACTGATGCACGTGCTAAGCCTGATGCAAGTGGCCGCAATGATGCAAGCTTTGTGTCACCAAAACTGGCCAACGTCATAGCTTTGCGGGAGTTTACTCTCGCGCTCAAAAGTTCCAAGCTCATATTGCTGTTGTTGGCTAGAGCCATGCTGGACTTGATCATGCTGTTCAAGCTTTCCAATTCCCCACTGTCCAATTCCAAGTGTAGGGCTGTCATTGAAAGGATAGCGTGGAGAAGCGACCCTAGTGGCATTGTCCCATACCTGCTGATATGTTTCAACTCCACCCGACATAGCTGCTTCACTTTCAGAACGTTGTGTTCAAGCTGGACATCTGGCAAAGACAACAACTCAGTCGCAATCTGTCGGCGGAACTGGGTAGGTTCTGACAAGTTTCCCTGCAAAAGCTTGAACAGTTTCCAAGGCCACCTTGGCTGCGTTTTTGCAAGCAAAGATCATGTCAAGAAAAATGTATTGCACAGTTACGCAGTTACTTGTTTAGTTTACTTGTTAAGTTGTGGCGGTAGTAGTTGCTGGATGTTTGATGTTGCAGTTACAAGTGTTTGTTAACTTTGTTAACTCTGTTTGACGACATGAAATGTGTATGTGACAACAATACGCTACGCAGCTACGCAGCTACGCACCATTACCATACTAAAGGACGTGACTCAGTGAAACACTAGACTACACCGACACCACACAAATGCACAGCGTGAATCAGACTAGGCGCCGTGAAAAAAACTCGTACAACCCTCCGGTTGAAGGCTGCAGCGTTGTGAAGCAATGACGCTGATGCCAAATCCAGCAGCAATGATCCGACACGATTGGAATCTTGACTGACTAAATCAAGCGGCTCGTGGTTCGAATCATGGTCATCGACCTCTCGGTTGATGGTGGCAGCAAAATCCAGCGATGCCCTCACCCATGTGTGAAATGAAACCACCAAACTTCCAAATTCCCGCTCGATACTTTGAATCCTGTGGCCCACCAGTTCTACCACAAGCATACGTGGTTTGGCAACAGTCTTGCCACGCTTGGTGCACAGAATGCGATAAAAATGCATAAGTGGTCCTCTTGTTTTGTTTGCCATGTGCATGCAAAACCAGAAACGTTGGTCTTCCACACTGATCAGGGAACGCCGGATGTACTTGGAAATTTTCTGCTTGTATATTCTAGCCTCATCAAGCGCGAGCTCATCGAGTGCATCTTTCTGGTCCTCAACAGCCTCGGCTGCGTTAGGCGTTTCCAACTTCTGACGATCCTTGTCAAACACTGCTTTGAAGAGTTTCCGCACGTTCTGTGCGCCAGTCTCCAAGTAGAACTGCTCAGCACCTTGGCTGTGGTAACCGTTCAAACTGATCCAACCGACCAAGGGGTCAAGGGGCAACAAGAATAAATATAGTTTGGTGTGTGGCAAGTGCCTGACTGGCAGCGTTGGTATCACAACGAAAACCCAGTTTTCCGTTTGCTCTGAATTAACCATTGCAATCATATTGCAACCAACACCAAAACAGAAAAGATGCTGACATTTGGAACTATGTTAAATATAGAATGTTGCGCGCCGCAGGCACTATCGATGCTTGCCCATCTCCCGCTAATCGCCAATGGAGGCAGCTTGAAGCTTGCTCGCATACCAGCAAACTCAGGATCCTTTGCATGTTGCTGTATCCATTTGTCACGTAACTTGCTGAGATGTCCCCGCCACGTGTGTGACAGGGTTGCCACTGAAGTATAGTACTTCCATTGACATCGAGCAGGAAAGTCTAGCTTGCCACCAACAATGTCATCAATGAGTTTCAGCTGACCCTGGGATATCAAATGAAACTGATGCTTCAAGCACAAAGGCGCAAAGAACAGTGCAAAGGACAGGTCATTCCGGGTTGAAAACATCGTGTGAATTCCATTGCGCACGGCTTGCTGATCTGGCCCGTTGTCTGAGGTGTTCATAAAGATGTGGATGTAAGGTTGGGGCAACTCGCCCTTCCTAAGTAGAGATAGAGTCAGAGATGATGATGTGTGTGTGTTTTTTTTTATTTTGTGTTTGCATGCTGTGCTACACGTCATCACGTTTCTCTCTGGCTTCATTGTTTTCCTTTCCTTAGGTTTTCTTTCCTTAAAAAAAATACAACTATCAGACTATCAGAAGCAGCTCACACTCAGCTCAGCTCAGCTCAAACCATCCAAGATGCTTCTTTGCTGAAGCCAGCTCGTCCCAAGATCGTATTCCCAAACGACGGAGCTGCTTGAGGATGATGCCCATGTTGCCAGAGCCAGTCCCGTGTGCGCAAACTTGTAGGTCCGACCTTGCTGCTAACCAAGCAGAACTTTTCCGACTAGGCAACAATTTCAACCGGAATATATAGCCTAAGGTTTTTTTTGATCTTAATGGTCATAGTAGTAGTATCAAGTATTCTGTAATGTCTACAAAGTTACAATGTTACAATGTCTACAATAATAGTAAGGTTTTGCCTCAAAGAAAGTTGTTCAAATCTATGCCACATCACATAGCTTTGTAGGAAGAAATCGCCGCAGTGTAGTCTTCCTTTTGTAAAGCATTCCAATCAGTCATCACGTGTGATGAAGCCAGCAAACCTTGAAGTTTCTGTCGTTTCCATATCGATGAGTTTGTTGCGTCTCCACTCCAGAATGTGCATCCTATAGAAAACGGGTTTCCAAGTTCTTTGCCGCCAGTGGATGTCATTGGACTGCGGCTTGCAAAGTCTGACCCCAACAGTGGCAGCCCCAAGTCTTTGCAAATAGAATCGTCATGCGTTAAACATTGGCTTGGTTGGTTGCCAGCATCGGCCAAACAAATGATGGAACTCGACTCAAGTTCTGCGCGTGGAGCTGTTGAATCTGAATCGCTTGGACCTTGTTGATGTTGCTGCTGTGTTTGCGCAAGTTGCTTCAACAACATGTACACAATCTTGTGGAAAAATCGAGCTCTGGTGATCAAATAGGAAGCAGTCATCACCTCACTTCTCAACACTGTTTGCTTGCTGACACTCACCAAACTGGCTTGTGGAAAGGATGATGCTGATGTGATTGAGATTGCCTTGCGTAAGCCCAAAGAAATTTGGCCCCTCCATGTGATCTTGGAACCAGTCCCACGGTGCACAGCTAAATCATCCAAATCCGGGTTTTTGGCATCGTCCAACTTTTCTTTCATCGTATCCAGCCTCTGGTGTAGACGACGAACACGCTGTTTGTCCATTCTCCTCTCACGCTTCAGCTGTTCCAGTTGGTTTGCTTGTTGAGATATAGTCATAGCCTGATGTAAGGAGTATGTGACAAGATCCGCATGTGGCATAGCCTCCAACAACTGACGTTGTTCTGTGGCACTTGGAACCTGACTGTTTGCATTTTCTTGTCGCAGAACTAGAGCACGTGTATCAGCATGTGATGCATGTTGTGTAGTGTTGCTCCACACCAAACTCCCTGCCATACTTGAAGTAGAAGTAGGGCGTTCAACGAAATGCATCCCCTCGCTTTCAGAAACTGTTGTTGACATTGGCATCGCACTTGACGACCCTTGCACTGAGCCAGGTCTAGAAGGCCTGGACTGTGAGCTGGCATCCTGAAAGTCTTGGCTGTGTTCAGAGCCAATGCCGATTGGCAGTAGCTGTGATGACTGATCGTGTTGATCAGAAGCAGCCGTGTTGTCCAACGGTCGTTTCTTAGAAACCCGTCTTTCAATCTCACCTTTTACAATGGATTGCCAGTTTGTCAGGATATGGGAGGACAGAGTTGTCCTTGACACTCCACACTCTGTAAACATCGCAGGTATATTCGATACATCGTACCATGGAGCAAATTGACCGTTGCCTGTAGGTACCTGGGTTATGTTTTGTCTTGGGGAACTTAAGGTAATCAAGGAATCAAGGAAAAGCCTTCAAACCACTGTTGATGACTGGTTGTTTGGGATAGACCTCAAAAAAACGGTTGTCCCACTGGCCACTGCCAACTCTCCATCCCCAAGAAATATTGAAATCCAAGCTACCAAAAAACACTCTGTGTGATCAGCCAACACCTTTCCCAGTTTCACCAGAATGAACTTCTCGAGCGTCAAAATCCTGGCTTTTCTGAAGAAAAGAAACGACAACATGGTCAAGCTCACCAAAACATATGCTTGACTCCTTGACTATTGTTTTGTGAGTTTTGAACAAGGGTTACACAGGTTGCCTTAGATGGGAATCATCATTGTGGGATTACACTCAATGAACATATAAGGACAAACATGTTCTTGAAGTACAAACGAAGAGTCAGTTCTTTGGGCGCCAGAAGCACATGAGAATCGTCATCAGACTGCAGCCGCGCAGTGTGAACAACGCGCCGCAATGCCGCTGTCAAGGTGAAGGTTGCCGGTGTCGAAATGGATTGGCATCACGGTGGTCTAAAGTTCAAAGTTAGTACGACTTAGGTTTCAAGATTGTGTTCATAGTGGCAGTGTCCTGTCACACATCCACGTGCCGTGAGTAAGGAACATGTGTGTTCTTCTTCCAGTCACATGTGTTTGCACTCTGGAAATCTAGACGATCACCTCCTGGCAAAACATGTCCACAAAGATAACGGCTCCGAAACTTCAGTGTTTGACACTCAAACACATCAACCGCACTGCCAAAAGTCAATGAATGACTATTTCGGAATGATATAGCTTAATGTTTTTTGATTAGTGCACTTCAAAAATCCCTGCCAGTTTTCAAGAACTGAGCTCAAAAAATATAGTGGCATGTTATATGTTGGACTTTCATTATAATTCAACGTATAGAAAAGTCTAT